AATCTTTGAACATTTAGAATTTAGTATCAACAATATTTCATATTCAGATCATAACACTTTATCGAGTTCTCACATTCATATTCTGAACATTTATCTTATAATTCTCATAAAGTGTATCCATAAAAGATGGATCATTCTAAAATTCAATAACAGTTAAGTAATTGTCATCAAATGACTTCTTGTGCATTAATTGATATGTACATACCTGAACCATCCGGATGTAACGCTGTTCAAATTCATTTCTACTTAAGATGTTGATACCATCTACGAGGTTTTGTTGTCCCCTTGTCATTTTTGGTAGAGAGGCAATCGACACGTTAAGAGCTTGTGTTCGAGATAAATTAGGCGCTTCTCCTACACTTAATGAATTTGAGGATGTTTTTGTAGTGTATACTGGTAAATTAGGCGGCAACATTGTCGTAGTCATTGTCGTCGTCGTCGTCGAGTGTGATTGACTATCTAAAAGTTTCTGGAAAAACGAAGTACTCGAGTTGTTGGTATTATAATTTAATGAGTTTATCGGTAATGATGAAAGAGATTTTTGAGGAGGAGTTATGAGCAATGGATTTGATGAGTTATTTGTTGATTTAGACTGTGGTGTTGACGACGTGTGTGTAGCAGGTGGACGAAGCAATTCCAATAATGATTTTCCATCTAGCTGCTGCCCATTAGTTGATGGAAAATTCTTTGACTAATAGAATCATATATAATATGAGAATTTATTATGATATAGAATTATAAAATGACAATAAACACTCGAATTCACCGTTGCAGGTGGTGCCTCTCTTCGTGATTCGTTTACATTTGCCTTTAAGAACAATTCGTTTAATATGTCTCTTTCAGACACATGATTTGATGACGGTGTTGGTTGTCGTAAAGTTGTTGAACCATTAGCTGTGCCATGATTGATGCCATTACTGGTGGTCTCTGTATGAGTTCCATTAGTTTGCTTTGTTCCGGCTTGTTGGAATAATGTAAGCAGATCTATTGATCTACCATAGGATTGAGACGGTGGTGTGGTTGAATTTGTTGTGGAATTTGAAATTTGAGGGGATTCTGCAAGTTGTGGTGGTGGAATTACTGTTTTTGATTCCTTACAACAGCTACATTATAAATTCTATGTTAATATCTTATCAAAAGAAAAATACACCCGATAGAGCATAGTCTTACAGTAATAATTGGTTTACTATGCGATCTCGATCTTTCTCTTCGAATGTCCAGATACCATGAATCTCACCTGTTGAATTATAGACAGAAAGCAATTAATAGGGATTCTTTGTATTGAGCTTAGTTTATATTAATACCTTTATCCGCTTTATATATAATATAACCATTTTTACTTTCAATATCCATATTATCGGTCAATGACGCGACAAAATTATCTATGCCAACTCGATTCATCACGATGAAGCCATAAACAGGTTGTATACATCTAACGAAAAAGATAACGTAAATCCTATTGAAAGTGTAGAAAATCCAGATTTGCGATTGATACCTTTTAAAAACGAAAAGAGTCCCCTCTACGCCTTTTTTTGTCTACATTTTTCAAATAGATGACCAGAATTAGTCGAAGACAAACTAAGACGAGATTTCACGGCTCTATTCCAAACTAGTAATAAGAAATCAGGCAAAAGAAATTTCGGCATACCCAGGAAGTCGTTTGAGTATCAAATTTATATACTACTACATGACTTGAACTATCTATTATTTCTACGATGTTCTTATCGTGACGTCGTAAGACGCTTAAATTTACAGCGAGCCTAGCTTTAGGATCCATGTCCAAAATAGATTATTTAAAGATTATTTGGATTTCGTATAGTTAAAAATCTTTGGTGAAATTGAGAAATGCTAACGCATATCGATATGATTAATTTGATTGCAAATCATATACCGATACATAATGTATAAGCCACGTCACCTACTCTATTGAACAAAGTAAATATCATTCATTCATTCATTCATTTGAAGAGACCATTAATTTAAAAACTAAATCATGTCTAAAGATTATGATGTTGTCGTTGAAGTGGAAGACGATCCTGTAAGCTATTGTCTCCTTTGTTCACTTACTTAAAAAACTTTCTCTAAGCCCTTTTGTCTGCTCTAGGGTGTTGAAAGGCATACTTTAGAATTTCAAGGTAATTTCCAAGCCAGTTCTACTTCAATTCGTTGCTACGATAAACAGTTAAATTTATTTTTTGTTTTTGGCTGTTCAGATTTTACCTCTGGCTCGGGTGTAGGTGGTAAAATAACCGCCGATAAGCAAGCCTCGTCAAATCATGGTAGTTATTATTAAGTTCTCGTTTTGGCTAATATCATTTCTCGCTAATTTTTAGATTTTTCTTGAAGGTGGATTTAATGATCCATTTTATGACCCCAGTCAATCTCGACCTGATGCTCAAAGTGGACAAGCACCAATTTGGTCTGTTGAATATTATGCTCAGTTTTTTGATGTAGATACTTTTCAGGTAAACTTTTTATTTCATGGAAATATTTATATCTTCTGATTTATTCTTAATTAGAAATCGAAAATTCTTTTTTAGGTTCTTGAACGTGCATCGAAAAGTCTATTTCCTAAAGATAATTTCATAGAGGTAGTTGGCAACAACCCCGACTTATATGGTAACTTTTGTTAATATATTTCTCAAATGCTTGATTTTTTATTCAAGAATTATCGAAACAACATATTTTCTTTTATGCACTAAATTCTTTTTTATATATATATATATGAGACAGGTCCTTTCTGGATCGCTACCACAGTGGTATTTCTTCTCTTTGTTACTTCAACAATAGCGGCCTCTATTGAAGCTCTTATAAACGGACAGAAAATCACATACGATATCCCAATTCTGTCATTTGGTGCTATGACAATATACACCTATACTTTTCTTTTGCCGCTATTAATTTGGGTAGGTTTGAAATACCTTGGTTGTAAACCCTCGCTTTTGGATATTATTGGATTATATGGTTATGGATTAACTATATGGCTTCCTATTTCGGTATGTCTTTTTATTATATGAATCTTTTTTAAGAGGTTAAATTAACATTAATTGTATTTTGTGGATAAAGGTTATATGTATTATACCGTCAGACGTCCTAAGATGGACATTAGTTATTGTTGGTTTTTCTGTTTCCGGTCAGTATAAGTTATTATCATCATTATCCCATCTTCGCCTCCCTAATATTATCTCTCATTTACTACTTAATATTTAGGATTTTTTATCACACGAAATCTATACCCAGTAATTGCGCGTGCAGACTCGAAGACCGCACGAATAATCATTATCATTATTGTGGTTTTACATGCAGCATTGTCATTTCTCTTGAAAAGAGAGTTTTTTTCGTTGAGTAAATTTTTCATATTTGTCTTTTTCCTAATATTAAATTATAACTAATTTTACCATTTCTATTATTTTCATAGGTATGAATTAAGTTTAAATAATTAAAAAACGAAATAGAATACAATAACAGAAAAATTTGAGAGGATTTTGACTAAATTGTATTTTTACGTGATAAAAAAATTGAATTAATGGTAATTATGAGAAGATTCTACAGAAAATCTTGGTATTTTATGATGGAAATGATTATTTCCAACGAATTTATCGTGATAATAATGCTAATAATTTGTTAATAAAAAATTTGTACGCTTGAATAAAGGACACATTAAAAAATAAAATTTACAATGAAAGGGTTACTGCTTAATGCTAATTTTTGCACGAGGACATTTTGTTATATCAATGAAGACTGGAGTTTTTTTTTAACAAGATTAGAATCCATTATTCTGATCTTTTATTGACAAATGCTCGATCCTTTGGGTCAGCGCGACTTTATATGCTCCATCAGATGATTCATTCATAAGACGCTAAATTTTGATAAGTTTAATAATATTCAGGGTTATTATCAAGCTAAGTGAAAGTGTAAATTAAAATAATCAAATAATAGCTATACAAAAAAAGGGTATTTATTTACTAATTCATTAATATATAAATTGTTAAATAGAGTAACTTGATCTTTTTCCGGCAAAAATTGGGTAATAAAATAGTTATCATGATTTCAACTAATACAATTCCTCATCATCTTCAAGTATTTTTCTCTCATTTATCTTTTTCAATCTCCTCTCGCGCTCCATATCTTCAGGGATCCATTCAAATATTTTCGACTCCTCTTTTCGAATTCCTCCTGTCTCTAATTGCCGTTGAACTTTTTCGCCCTGTTCTGCCATCAATGTTTCAATGGTTGTACGTTCATCACGGAACCATCCTAAATGGTCAGCAATCAGATGATGATTCTTGCAAACTATACATTGAATAATGACTACACCATGATCATAAGCCTGACGTGACATTTGTTTTGTACTTCTATGTTTACATACTTTGCATGTAAATGAAATTTCTAGACGAGTATCAATTTTCGCCAAAAATGTCTTTTTTGACGGGGAAGGGGAAAGTGTTAAATAAGCAAAAGCCTCTTGCTTTTTTATTGCTCTAGTTGTATGAAAAAGTATATGAGTATGAGCCAGTGGTGTTTGAAAATATGGTGTTGTTTTTATAAGCATTACTTGTAAGGTTCCATAACATGAATTAGTAATGAATATTGTAAGTATCTTTTAAAGAATTGACATATTAAAGAATTTTACCTGGGTATTGTGGGTTTTTCAAGATTGCTTTAGTGCGAGGGAAAAAATTCCTAACAGCAGTGCGCAACATTTTTAAATACGAATTTTAAACGCGAATGTAAAAAAACGAAAGATCTGCGATTTGTAACTAAAATCAGGTGACCGAGATTCCTAAAGACGTTCGACGAACATCTACACAACAAAATGTCGCGGCCCGTCGATGTCGTTGTAGCAGGCTTAGGAAACCCTGAAATTCAATATGCCACTACGCGTCATAATGGTTTTTTTTAAAATGATCATTTAAAATATCATTCGCCTGTTTTTCTCTATCATATTTACTCGCAGTCTATTTTTGTTCAGCTGGTTTTATATTTATAGATTATTTAGCAAACGCGATGCAATCCTCTCAAGAAGAGAATAATGCCGTCAAACCAGTTTTTTATAGAAGATTTGATTTAGCAGGTATGAAATATATCTATAATGCGAAAATTTAATTCTTAAAGTATTTATTTGAATAATAATAATAATAAATACATCTAGCTGATATACGAGACACGATTTTCTCGACCAAAACTGAAAATGGGTCTTCTAGTGTTACGGTTAGTTACTTTTTGCATTGTGAATGCTAATTCTTATCTGGTTTGTAATTTTGAGCTTGACGACGTAATGATTAAATCGATGGCAGAAATCGCTTCGAGTGGTTTTGGTGAAACCTCTAATGAATATGAACGAATCAGGGGTGCCAGTTCAAAGAGTACTTCAATATTATGGAATCACGGACACGAAAAAATTAATTGTAGTTTGTGATGACTTGAATACTCTTCCTGGATCATTAATGATTCAAGGTTTGTATAATGAATGACCAATATAGACAAAGCGTTTTTTTCGCTCAAACTGTAGCATCCCATTCTTTATAGGTGGTGGTCTGTTGGCAGCTATGCAAGGTCACAAAGGAATAGAAAGTATCGCAAATGTTCTTGGAACTACGGAATTTATTAGGTAAAGGAAATTATTGTTGACTTATATAATGAATGAATCACGGGTTAACAATTTGGTATCTTGTAATAAGATTCCGTTTAGGGATTGGAAGACCTCCTAATGAATCGACGACTATTACTCAATGGGTTTTAGGTTCTTTTACGAAAGAAAATCGTGAAATGGTAAAATATCTTTATTTACTTTGATTTAGTTGGAAACATATTTAGTAATTCATAGCTATATTTCATGCAACCTTATAGAATCTTTTTGGACACCTCCTTCACCTAACAACTCATGCACTTTATGACTATAGCATTCATCAGGACCTGAAGAAAATTAAAAAGAAGTATGCGCAATCAAAGAAACTTCCAAATAAATTAAAAGAAATGGAGAGTTTAATATTTCCAATTGACCTTCATGGAACATAAAATTTATCATTGCAAATCTTTGCTGCGGAAAGATCTGCACCTTGATTGAAGATTGAGGTTAAATGAAATGATTCACATTGTGTAATAAAAAAAATGTCCACTATCATCTTCCCTTTCTTCCGTTTTAACGCAGTTTACCCCTTCTTGTCCATTGTATTTTGTGTTTGCTTATCTTTTTGTTCTCTGCGCCAGGTGCTACGATATCTTTAGTCATAGAAGAATAAAAAACACCGGCTCTTCGGTTGCATAACGATAAGAATATTCGTATTATTCGTATTATTGTTATCATTTTATCTTTGTGATGATGAAGTTTTCATTATGTGGCAAAGTGATTGTATGCAGTTTCAGTTTTTATAAAAATTTTTTTCATACCCCTTTACAATTGGAACGATTGGCCTAATCAATATTTTGATAAGGCCCTTTTTTCATCGTGCACCTATCAGATTGCGCGGATTGTGATCTAGAAATTTTTAAAAAAAAAGGGACATTAATTGAGATTAATATTTAATGGGGACTCGTTGGTATTTTTGATTCACCCTTCCAACTTTTTCCTCAATAACGACTCCTTTACGGTATTTTTTATGCTTATAGTATCATAATGTAAGTAATTCTATCTTTATAGAAAAATTATCCATCCGTCTGACCGTTTTGGATTTTGTTGTTATATTTTCCCATTTGTGCTTTGGGAGAAAAAACGTTTTGCAATTGCCTTTTTGGAATTTTTAAAACGATATTCTTACCCGCAGCATTATCCCTAAATATATACTTGTACAAATTTAGAGAAAAATTTCTAGCCCAAACAAGCTTTCAAGAGACAAAATCCATAACAATAAAGAAATATTTATAAAAATCATTTTAATTGTAACTTTAGCAAATGGGTAAAGAAAAGACTCACGTTAACGTCGTTGTCATTGGTCACGTCGATTCTGGCAAGTCAACCACCACTGGACATCTCATTTACAAATGCGGGGTAAGACTTTCAGTGTCCTTGTTACGATTAAGCCGTTTTTTGTTAGGTGAAACGCTAGTGCAAGAGAAAGGCCATCTTAAACTTTCTTCCTATTAACTGCTTTACATAGGGTATTGATAAACGTACGATAGAGAAATTCGAGTAAGCAATTTATAAAATCTACGTCATGAATAAATAATATCTTTTGTCGATGAATTCAAATATTAAGTTCGAATCATATGTATCTCTTATTTTTTATGATAATAGAAAAGAAGCTGCTGAACTTGGTAAAGGTTCCTTTAAATATGCCTGGGTATTGGACAAACTAAAAGCTGAACGTGAGCGCGGTATCACTATCGATATCGCCCTCTGGAAGTTCGAAACTCCCAAATATTATGTCACTGTCATTGATGCCCCTGGACATCGTGATTTCATCAAAAACATGATTACTGGTACATCCCAGGTATATAAATTCATTCTTTTCAACCCGAATCAATTACCAAACTATTCGAATAAGTGATTTCTAATGAATGGTTCTATCTTTCTCCATAATCATGATGTATACAGGCTGATTGTGCTATCCTAATTATTGCTGCCGGTACTGGTGAATTTGAAGCCGGTATTTCTAAAGATGGACAAACTCGTGAACATGCCCTTCTGGCCTATACCCTTGGTGTAAAGCAACTTATTGTTGCTGTAAACAAGATGGATACCACAAAATGGTCTGAAGAACGATTCAACGAAATCGTCAAAGAAGTCTCAGGTTTCATTAAACGTGTCGGCTATAACCCCAAGACTGTTGCTTTCGTACCAATATCAGGATGGCACGGTGATAATATGTTGGAAGAATCTCCAAATATGCCATGGTTCAAAGGATGGAACAAAGAAATTAAAGGTGGTTCCGCTAAAGGCAAAACTTTATTGGAAGCCATTGATTCTATTGAACCTCCATCACGGCCAACCGATAAACCACTTCGTCTTCCACTTCAGGATGTTTACAAAATTGGTGGTATCGGCACTGTCCCAGTCGGTCGTGTTGAAACTGGTACCATCAAAGCTGGTATGGTTGTAACTTTCGCTCCAGTTGGTCTAACAACTGAAGTCAAGTCAGTAGAAATGCATCACGAACAGTTAGTTGAAGGTGTTCCAGGTGACAATGTAGGATTCAATGTTAAAAACGTATCTGTCAAAGAAATCCGTCGTGGTTTCGTATGCTCCGATTCCAAGAACGACCCTGCTAAAGAGGCTGCTTCCTTCCAAGCCCAAGTCATTGTTCTAAATCATCCAGGGCAAATTGGTGCTGGTTATGCTCCAGTATTGGATTGCCACACCGCTCACATTGCATGCAAATTCGCTGAATTGGTTGAAAAGATCGATCGTCGTTCTGGTAAATCTCTTGAAAACAATCCCAAATTTGTCAAATCAGGGGACGCCGCCATCGTTAAAATGATTCCGTCCAAACCGATGTGCGTTGAGGCCTTCTCGGATTATCCTCCTCTTGGTCGTTTCGCTGTAAGAGATATGCGTCAAACCGTCGCTGTAGGAGTTATTAAGGTTAATTTTAACTTCTTGATATATGAATGAATATTTATTATTGGGATTATGCTCAGGTTATTAATTAAATATTATTTTATTTCTATCTTTATACACATTCAGGGTGTCGAAAAAGTTGACAAGTCAGGAAAGACCACTAAAGCCGCCGCTAAAGCTAGCAAGAAATAAATCTCAAAATTCCCCTAGATATCTTAATATAATTATTATTATTAAATTTCTTCATTGTAGAATATACCCCTTACTTTTACCAAATCTTTTGATGAAGAACTATATGTTGTAAAATTTATTTCAAAAAAAAAATTCGTATTGGAGTTCGTTAATCAAATAAATGGTTTTCACAGCATGATTTTTTCTACAATTGGAAGATATAAATATTATACATAATACAAAAAACCATATCGATATCGATACAGATCGAAGAATGTGGCTTTTGTGTTAAGCGTAATTTCACGCATAAATTACATATCAACCATTGATCCATATGGCCTATTATTATTATTGACGCCAAAAAAATTTAAATTTTTCGGAATTTTCTTTTTCCAACTTTTAAACATGAATACACCTTCGGGTCGGGAAAATTTCCTTAGTGGAACTTATATAGGAGAGATAATAACTACTTGGAGTCAATTTATACATAAACTGATGCCGGAAGAAGAATTTGAAGGTCAAGAAATAACAGAGTTCCACCCAAATCTATGGAATTTTTTTTACTCACATTATTTGTATCTTGCAATTTTTGTGGTAAGTAAGAAAAGAAAAGGCGACATTCAACTAGTTTTTTCTGCTTTAGTTTGCTATGCTTAGTTTCACCTTTCTTAGGTCTGCCTTGTTTTTCGACTTTTAGAATGTATTGAACAATAGAATTAATGCTATTGTCGCTCCCCGCAATCCAAGACCTTTAACCTTTACGACTCGACTTTTCTTACGTTTACCATGTTTTTTCTTGATGGTTAAAGCAACCTTGGTATTAATTTCGCGTATTGCGGACGATGTACCTTGGTTTCAAAAGCATGTATCCGACTTTATCCTTAGTTACAGCGTGGATTACACAGATCACCAGGCCCTATGGCTTTGTCTAAAAGCTTTGGCTGCAGTATATGTGATGAAAGCGTTTCATTCAAGCCTTGAGAACAGAAAGTAGGCGATCAATTTCTTTACATTTTATGAAAATTTAAGCGAATAAATTGACGTATTCTCTTTGCTTGATGTTTCATCTTAGCCTTCCGGGTCGTGAACAAGCGACAAACCTCTATGAATGGGCATTATTATTTCACTTATATGCTTCCCCAAGCCATTCGAATGTTGATCTCATAATGATTGCGTTGTTAGAATTGCTAGATGCTTTTGCACTTGAATTGCTTTACCTCCATCCTCGTGGTACTCAATATCGACTAATACCAACCAGTATGATTGGAATTATCGGCATTATTCATTTTGCATATGCGTTACGTTTTTCAACAGCTTATCCTCTATTACAAAGCGTTGCTCGATTCCCCGAGTTGGCGCTAATTTGTGTCATTATCATGTGCGCTGTTTTACATGGCGTTGCGATTATAGCAACAGGTGGAAATCTCAGAGGAAGGTTTTTCTTGGATTCACGATCCTTACCTTCTTTAAATCAAGATTATACGATGGCATTGTACTCGATAGGAATGGCCTGCGTAAGTATTTTATATCCTTGATATTTATTGAGGAATGGATCGCTTACAAATATTTATTCTCTTGTTAATTAGGTTGAAGCTACAAGAACTGATGGTTATCGTAATGAATTGAATCCAATTGCCGTTCCAATGGGAACAGTTTTCGAAGCTTCTCGCAGACGAAGAAAAATCATTAATAGGAGGAGACCAACAAGTGGGTTTGATAATGAGCAAATTGATAGTAATGGTTTGACTACCACTCATGAACCAGACAATAATCCTCTTCGGATAACAGTTATGACCAATTTTGCGTATAACCTCATTCAAGTCGCTGCAGATTGCGGCTATTGGATTCTTAATAGACTCCCGATTCCATTTTTGGCACGGCGAAATGACATCTCTAATCAGAATCTGGTTGGGATTAATGGGCAGACAAGATTAGAGGGTGTTGACGAATACGATCCTGACGCAGAATTATATGAAAAATTCTTAAAGGATGAAGATTTTGAGGAAGAAGACGACGAAGAATTCAAAGATGAAAATATAGTTGAACAAGAATCAGAGGGCGAATCAGACGATGAAGCCGAAGAATCACAAGAAGCATATAATGAATTGATTTCCTTAGGAAATGATATTAGGGAGCAAGAACATGGACAAGGACAAGGACATTCATCTTCATCATCGTCATCTTCGTCTTCATCCATTTTACAACTTTTCCTAACTCATCTTATGCATGCACCGATTCTTACCCGTAATCAATACCGACAATTAACGGAAAGGACCACAATATCAACATCTGCGGATGAAAATGCTGCGCTTCTAGCTCTCATACAACAAAGACGCGAAGTATCAGAAGTAAAACAACCAATTACAGATCGAGTTTGTGTTATATGTCACGCTGAACCACGGCAATGTCTATTAAAACCTTGCAGGTAGATATTAATGCAAGTTTTTTCTTATATTTATTAAACTTAAATGATGGATTCAATTTAATCTCTCCTGTATTTAATGAACAGCTGTTTTGCATTGTGTAATGAATGTAGAGAAGTCATGGCTCAAAAACGGTAGGCATTTATTTGATGTATTCTTTCTTTATTGAATTAATCTAATTTCTTTGCATAATACATGCAGGTTTAAAACTTGTCCGTGTTGTAGGCGCACAGTTGAAGGATGGTGCAAAATATATGTACCGTAAATTCTTATGCTTTGACTTTTAAAAAGAACACTCATCACCTTGTGGTCAGAAAAACTTAGAATTGTAGATAAATGACAGCATTACTTTAGAAAATTTATAATAATTTCTCAATATTCAATTTTATTATTTCTTATTATATAATATATTCTAATATCGTTATTAATTACATTGTAGAATAAAAAATAATTTTTTTTAATCAGTACCCCCACCGGATGCTCTTTGAATTTGTTTTGCGAGATCTGGACCGGCATCTCGTCCATATATCTGGAAAATAAAATTTAATTGAAATAAAGTACTTCGACAAAGAAAGATCCATTAATAAACCAACCGTTTTAATGAATTGAATTATGCTATTTTCTGGAAATTCAACTTTTGCTCTGGGACCCCAACGATATTCAAAGTGTTCTTTTTCTGAAACTTGATCAACTAGACCAGATTTTTGTCTATCCAAGTAACCTTGCTTTACAAAGGTCATTAATGTTTTATCTAGTTCGCCAAAACACTCGTGTTCCCCTCGGATATGAAGGCGATTGGTATAGCTTCTAAGTTGATCTGTGGATGGAATATTTTTAATCCTAAAGATATTGGCAAGAATTATATAATTATCAAATTTAACGTAAAAAAAGTTTAATACCATCTGACAATGTCTGTCCATTTACAAAGATAAGGCTAAGGATGACTGTAAGTAAACCCATCATCGCCTCTTCATCATGCCATTGAATAAGATCATTATTTCTCATTTGCTGCGGAAGAATACTAATGAGCGCGTATGATTTACAGTTGGTAGATGCTCCCTTATTTGCATTAGCTAAAATAAATAATTGAGAATTAATTATTAAAAAAAAATATAGATAAATTAATTACTAATTAAAAAAACACACCTCTTCGTGCTGCCCCTGTGCCTGCAAAGTCTTTCTTTTCTTTAGAAGGCATCTCGACCATTTCCATTCCAAAGATATCACGTAGTTCATCTTGAGCTTGTTCAAAAATCTCTTGAAAAGCTCTAGAATGTTCCTGAAGAACTTTATATCGAATTTTCAGAGATTAATATGCCCTAACATCGAATATTATTGAGGATATTGTTTATCACCTTTTTTCACCATGTCTTCACGCCTTATTGGCGTTTTCTTGCGCTCAGAGAATAAGGCGAGTCTGATCAAACCTTTTACCTTGCGATTTATTTCCTGGAATTATAATTAACAATATAACTTTTGAGGAAAAAAGTAATTATTAACTCACAAAATTCGAAATATACTTTACTTCTTCCGATAATTTTTGCAGTGCCTTTTTGGCAGTTGAAATAACTTGTGTTGGAATATCCTCTTCGTGAGACAATTCAGACTCCTCATCTTCCTCTACGTCTCGCTTGCGTTTCCCTTTTTTAGTTTCGGACATTACTATTGTGTTTCGACGCAAAGAGCCAGCTTGTGCTGATTCCTAGAGAATATTCCTAGAGTTAGAAAACCGTATTTCCGAGTAATAGGTATACGTGTTCGATTACCTGCAAAACTCGGTCTTGCTCCCTTTTTGTCCTCTATATTTAAAATAATAAAGGTTAAAAAGTAAAAGTATAAATAAATAGTCACCAGCCAAGAATTAAGAATACCATTATGAAGGTTTGAAGGTATTAAAGAGATATTACGATAACGCGTTTGAATTTAAAAAAATCCTATTTATACGTGGTTGGCCAAAGATCGACGTCGATTTATAAGAATTCCACAATTTAAAAATTAAATTAAAAATATGAATCTTGAACTTTTGAGTACGTATTGTATCTATTTTTAAGCGTCATTGAAAAATATACAACAAAATTTTAAATATACAATTGCGTAACTCGCATTTAGATCCCTTTGAACAAGATTATCCTGAAAATATAGAACACACTACTGTCGACTTATATGCTCAAAACACAAATGCGACATGCATTAGTTTCAATAGACGAGGTACCTTATTAGCAGCTGGTTGTCAAGACGGTCAAGTCTTTGTCTGGGACTTTGATACTAAGGGAGTTGCAAGAATTCTCAAAGGACATGTTAGTAAAGTAACTAGTGTAAGGTAAAATTTATATTCACAGTGATGCAAGGGTGGCATTATTATTCATCATAAACTTTATCGTAGTTGGTCGCGTAATGGACGATATCTTTTAACGTCAGGTGAAGATTTCAAGTGTATACACTGGGACTTGATATCTGGGACTATTGCCCGAACAATCCCATTTGATACAGGGGTTGCTATGGCGCAAATGCATCCCAAGAAAAAGTTGGTATTATTTATCTTTTAAGATCTTCTACATGATTACTCGCTTACAAACTCTTTATCATATCTAAAGTGATGTCTTTGTAGCAGCGTTAAAAGTAGAGGCTCCCGTCCTGGTGGATATCTCAGGTGAAGATGCTCAAATTCTAGAGTTACCAGCGGATTCTGAATCTTCCGGTGATCTTTATAATAACGGAAATGAAAAAGACTCAAAGCCAATGTTGCTATTTTCCTTGCTTCATTATCAAAGTTAATTCACTCTTCGATAACCTCAATAAGCTAATCGCTATTTGAATTCTAGCTCTACGCTTGTATGTCGCTTTGATATCAAAGGGGAACGTATATTTACGGGCAGTAGTAAAGGTGCTATTCATATCATTGATGCTAATACCCGAAAAGTAGCTATTTTGGTTTTCTCTTTATTTTTTGTATTGTAAGATGCTTTATCTAAGCATTTAACTACTTAGTTGCTATATATGGAGAGAATTAGTGGAAGTTATGCAATAAAAAATTTGGTATTAAGTCGTGATGGCAGGTAGTCGTTAGCATCACATTAATGCCTTTGTTCAGTTCCACGTAGATTCTATTAGCTTGACTAAATGTATTACAATTATTTTGTAGAGATTTTATAATCAATGCTAGTGATAGATCAATTCGTGTATACAGCCTGGATGATGAAGATCATGTTTTCATATTACGTCACACCTTCACCGACGTAATTAATAAAGTTCAATGGAATCAATGTTGCTTTAATCGAGATGGTGAATATGTTATAGGAGGTGAGATTTGTCAAGGGTGAGATATTGCGTAATTTGATCTTGATTTTTAATCTTTGTCACAAAAAATAACCTAATAGGCTCTGCTCATAAAATGGGTCATAACATTTATATATGGGACAAGGAACGGGGAAATCTGGTAAAGATGCTAGAGGGACCAAAGGAGCAACTTAATGATTTAGCATGGCACCCGGTGCATCCCATTATTGCATCAGCAGCGGCATATGGAAGTATTTATATCTGGGCAACAGAACATCAGGAGAATTGGAGTGCATTTGCGCCACATTTCAAAGAATTAGATGAAAACGTAGAGTATGAAGAACGGGAAGACGAATTTGACATCGTCGAGTCCACTGATTCTTTAGTGAGAGAGCGTGAAGAGGAAGAAGATGAGATAATTGATATCACTACAATAGAAAAGCCAAAATTCCTACAATCAGATCCAGAAGAGGATGAAGAAATATATTATCTTCCAACTCATCCTGATGAATTTTGTTCATTTGATGAAGATGAGAGTTATGAACCTCCAAAACGCAGTGCACGTAGTAATAACACAAAAAATAAAAATATAGTGAAAACTACTACAAAGAAAACCGAAAAAGCTACTAACACGAAAACTGTGCACAATAGAAGCAGCTCTGATGATTATACGCACAAAGGAAAGAAAAGGAAACTTAAAGGTTCTAGTAACGTTCTGAAATAAATTTATTAGCTGACCGAGTATAAATAATTATGTTAATTAACTTTATTTATTCTTGATTGGATTAGCCAAATAATTCGAATTACATCTTTAAAAAGACAAGTTATTTTAAATAAGACATTGAACTGTAAAGTTTTTGATGCTTTATCAATTTTAAGAAATAATTTATAAAACAAATGTCCTCTCTTGGAATAATTGAATTGGGTCAAGAGCTGAATGAAAGAAAACAAGTTTTGAGGATTAATTTTTTATTTCTATCATTATTTTTCATATTAATTTTTTTGATGATGACATAACAGAAACCCAACACCGAAACTTCTAAGAAACTCGTTTATATTCGAATCTAATATGTTGGTACATAAGGAATTTACTCACCTGGCGAATCTTTCTTACCTTTTTAACATCTCAAAATAAATTATCTGATTCTCTAACATTATTCAATTACGTATAGATTAAGAACTACCAGTCAATTCTTTTGTCTCTTCTATAATTTTTTCCACATCCTCGGAAACATATCGATCGAGAATCTGGCGTTTCCGTCTTCGAACCAAATATTCCTCTACTTCTTTTTGACTAGGTACTGCAACATGCGACACATATTTTTCGTCTGATTCGTCAACATCCATTGGAATTTCTCGTTCTTTTCCTTTTCCTTTTCCTTTCCCTTTTCCTTTCCCTTTCCCTTTCCCTTTCGCTTTTGAAACTGTCTTATCTTCTAGTTCTACCTTGTCCGGTAATTGTGATGCTTTTTCGATGACTTGAGAAGGAAAAATATATTTTAAAAAAATATATATATATATATAATGATCTCCTTAAATTTTAAACCAATTCATATCTACCTAGCTTCTCTTGTTCTTGTTCGTATTCTATTAGTGTGCCATCTTCTTCATCACGATATCCATAGTAATCCGCGTCAACATTTTTATACAAATCAAATCTAGTACGCTTAGGTGGTTCAGGAGCTACATAGCATACAAGCTAATTAGATAAAAATTTCTCTGGAAATAATAGATCGAATTATTATGTTACACCTTCTTGCTCGAATAATTCTCTCACGCCTGGTAAATCTTTTGCCCTTCCAAAATATCTGAACATGAAATATTTTCAAAGTTAAAAATATTTCCCAATCTTATTAATCATATACATGTATAAAAAATTCGCACTTATATCCTCGATTGCCCGGGACCTCTTTCCCTTCATAATCCATCATCTTTGGTCCTATCCGCTACTCAATTTTGAAATAACATAAATTAGAAATATTATCATACCAAATCTTTAATTGAGTTGACTCAAAGAAGAGAAAAAATTCAAACTCTATAATCGGGGCCGCCGAGCTTTTTAATTTGATCTTCCCAATGTCCCTTCTCTCGCATTAATTTATTGATCTCGTCATTAAGGTCTCTTATTTGATAATCGGAAAGACCAGCTAAATAAGGCAAATTTAATTCAAATAAGTAATTATGTTTTT